TCAGAGTGCATAACGAAACTTATGGGTGAATACAAATGATTAACATGCCAAACCACACTAAATTTGTCACAACTTAAAACCTTAAATGACAATCCACATAAAACCTACATCAACCAAACAAGCCATATGAGAATCGAAACAACACAAAAAATAAAAGTACATAAAGCGAAGGAAATAACATGGAATGCAACACATCAATTTTCCTTTTCCAACTAGAGCTCGTCTTATTGCTTATTCCTCCATACATTCATCGGATTCCTTCTCATCATCTTCTTCATCAGCCTCACTCGGGCGATAAATCATCTTCCTCAATTTGTAACTTGAAGTGTCACACCCTGCTTGCTTCATTTGATCTTGTTGCATGTTGAAGAGTACCTGAAATTGAGCATTCGTCCATTCGGTTTGTTGACGTTGATAATCGCCTATGGTGTCCACCATATCATACAAACTCTCGTCTTGGTCCTCTTGTGGAGCTTTTGAGGATGAAGCACCCACTGATCTAGTTAACTTTTTCTGTCCTATTGAGAGTTTTTCATGTACTTATAAGTCAAACAAATGCTAGGGTGAATCACCTTTTCTCTCGAAGTATGAGGAACTCCCACTTGACGACATAGTGCCATGACGAGTTGCGGAAAGGAGTAGCTCGTGTTAAGATTGTTGGCACAAGATAACATTTGAGACACAATTATGTTACCCACATTCATTTGCTTCTTTGTCACGATACAGTAAAGCAAGATTCCCCTCACTCGATCCACAATACTATTGTGGGTTGTTGGCATCAATCTTGTGTTCATGAAATATTGCCACACACGAGTAGCATTGTGAAGATTTCATGCGAAAAATTTCTTATATCGATCACCCACCATGACCCATGCTGCTTGTCCCTTTGTCAATCTCCTAATTACCTTGTCATAATTGACATTTTTCAAGTACTCATATTCGTCCTCTTCGACTTGTGGCAATTCATAGTATTGGTTAATTGTCCTAGCATCAAATTTTACCTCCTTTCCTCGAACTCTCGTTTTCCCATTGTAATTGTCGGGTAAGTTAGCATAGAATTCTTCTACAATTGGAGCAACGGTTGACGGGGGTGTTTGAGTGAATTTCTTCCAACCCAATTTATGTACTATGTCAGTTATTTCTTCTATGTCATCACCATCAAAATTCATGCCCCTTTCTTGTATGAAACCCCTCACTTTTTGCTAAGTATCGTCAATCCTTCCCTTAGCTTTTCCACTCACAAACTTAGGATCATGCACTTGACTACCCTGCCCACCTCTCACTTTTCGCTTGGGAGCTATCTTTGGAGCCATAAAAAATATTATTTTTTCAGTTTTCAACGTAATGAACAACCACAATCCACTATTAGACAATCACCTAATTCTTCAACTAAGCTTGAACTTATTCCCCTTAAATATCAATTTTTCCAGCAGCAAAATAATTTCAAGCAAAGTCACCACACCCTTATTCCAACGTTTTCTTAGCCACGAATTTGCACCCAAATCACCAATTTTTCCATCAACAAAAAAAAATTCCAATCAAAGTCACCACCAATTCAAATCATCAACACCACAAATGACAATGAATGATCGAAAATCCACACAAGAACATTGCACATCACCCTTATTCTAAAATTTTCTCAACTAACGAATTTACACCCAAAATCACCAAGCAATCTTGCCAAATCAAGTTATAGGTAGCCAAATTCATGAATATGGAGTATAGAAATACTTACTTGTGTTGGAAATAAACTATCTTGCTCATCAATTCCACCAGTTTCTCTTGAAATTGAACATCCCCAATTTCATAACCCTAACTCCACCAAGAAAATTTGCTTGAATTTACACTTGAAATCCTTGTAAAAGAGGAAGAAAAATGAGAATGAGAATAGGATTTAGGAGAAGGATGAGTTTTTGAGGTGAAAGAATTGAAAAAGTGGTGAAAAAAACGCAGCAGCAGTTTTTTTCTCTGTTTTGTGGCGTGGCTGTGGGTGACGAACTGCTGGGTTTTGCGCGCTACTGTGCCGTAGCACGATAGCTTCTACCTAAGTTGTGCCGCGACACACACACGTTTTAAATTTTTTATTTTTTTGACCAAAAACAATATAAAAAAAAAAAACATATATAAATAATAAAATAAATAAATGCATGGAAAATGAAAATGAAAGAAAAGAAAATAAAAGAAGAGTAATTTAAAACATGGGTTGCCTCCCACGAAGCGCTTAGTTAACGTCCTTAGCTTGACGCCTTTTTATGTTCACTTTGGCTCATGGAGAAAAATCGAAACTCTGTCTTCTTCCGATTCATGCTCAACATAGGGTTTCAATCTTTGTCCGTTGACTTTGAACATCCCTTTCACAAGATGATGAACTTTGATGGCCCCATGCAGAAAAATCTTACTTACAATGAATGGTCCGGACCATCATGATCGTAACTGTCTTAGAAAAAGTCTAAGTCTCGAATTGAATAACAAAACTTGTTCTCCTATTCTGAACTCCTTTTTCACTATGTGCTTATCATGCCAAAGTTTGGTCTTCTCTTTATAGATCCGAGCACTTTCATATGCTTTGTGGTGAAATTCCTCCATCTCATTGAGTTGTAACAATCTCTTCGCACCTACTGCCTTTGGATCAAAATTTAATATCTTCATAGCCCAATAAGACCTATGCTCGAGCTCAACTGGCAGGTGACATGCTTTTCCATATACTAACCTATATGACGACATCCCAATTGGCGTTTTGAAAGCTGTTCTATACGCCCATAGTGCATCATCCAATTTAGGGGACCAATCTTTCCAAGAGGCATTCACAGTTTTCTCTAGGATTCTCTTCAACTCCCTGTTAGACACCTCCACTTGCCCACTTGTTCGTGGATGATATGATGTTGCAACTCGATGTGGAACTCCAAACTTACTCAACAATGTCTCGAATTGTTGGTTACAAAAGTGAGCTCCTCCATCACTAATGATAGCTCTAGGCGTGCCGAATCTTGTGAAGATATTCTTTTTTATGAACTTGACTACGACACGAGCATCGTTGGTCGGTAGTGCCATAGCTTCCACCCATTTTGGGACGTAATCTACAGCCACAAGAGTGTAACGATTAGAAAAAGAAGATGGAAACGGTCCCATGAAGTCTATTCCCCATACATCAAATATTTCCACTTCTAAAATGTTACTAAGAGGCATTTCATTTTTCCTAGAAATATTCCCAACCCTTCGACACATATCATAAGCTCGAACATAATTAAATGCATCTTTAAAGAGAGAGGGCCAGAAAAATCCTGATTAAAGAACTTTAGCGGCCGTTCGTGTCGCTCCAAAATGCCCTACGACCTCTAGAGAATGGCAATGTCGAAGTACATTCTCCATCTCCTCCTCTGGCATACATCTCCTGACCATTTGATCAGCACATTGCTTGTACAAGAATGTATCCTCCCAAAAGTAATGTTTCAAGTCGGAGAAAAATTTCTTCTTTCTTTGGTATGTCATTCCGGGAGGTAGCACCTTCTTTGCTAAGTAATTGGCGATGTCAGCAAACCAAGGTCCATTTTGTATCGCAAATAATTGCTCATCCGAGAAATGTTCATTGATAGGCTTTTCGTCACTTTGATCGTCTTCCCTTCTTTCCAGTAGAGATAGATGGTCCGCTACTTGATTCTCAGTTCCTTTCTTGTCTCGGATTTCCAAGTCGAACTCTTGAAGAAGTAACATCCACCTAAGCAATCTTGGCTTGGAATCCTTCTTTGCTAGAAAGTACTTCAGAGCTGAATGGTCGGTATGTACGATGACCTTTGTACCTAGCAAATAAGAATGGAACTTGTCAATTACAAAAACAACAGCGAAAAATTCTTTCTCTGTCGTAGCATAATTCAATTGTGGTCCCGTCAATGTCTTACTAGCATAGTAAACAACATGCAAAATTCTACCTTTTCGTTGCCCTAATACAGCTCCTATTGCATAGTCACTAGCATCACACATTAATTCAAAAGGTAATTCCCAATCGGGCACAACAATTATAGGAGCAGATATCAATTTAGCTTTTAGGCACTCAAATGCTTCTAAACATTCTTTAGTAAAATTAAAAGGTGTATCCTTAGCTAATAAATCACAAAGAGGTTTAGAGATTTTAGAAAAGTCCTAGATAAATCTCCTATAGAAACCGGCGTGTCCAAGGAAGCTTCGAATGACTTTCACAGAATTTGGGGGTGGTAACTTCTCGATGACCTTCACCTTTGCTCGATCCACTTTGATCCCATTGATGGAGATTTTATGGCCTAGTACGATTCCTTCTTGTACCATGAAGTGACATTTCTCCCAATTTAGTACTAGATTGGTCTTCACACATCTCTGCAAAACTAAAGAAAGGTTAGATAAACAAGAGTTGAAGGAATTACCTACCATAGAGAAGTCGTCCATAAAAATCTTGATAGAGTTTTCCACCATATCCGAGAAGATGGACATCATGCAACGTTGAAAAGTGGTTGGTGCGTTGCAAAGTCCAAACGGCATCCTTTGGTATGCAAATGTTCCATATGGGCATGTGAATGTGGTCTTTTCTTGGTCTTCCGGTGCTATTGCAATCTAATTGTATCCTGATTATCCATCTAGGAAACAATAGAAAGCATGGCCTGCTAATCTCTCTAGCATTTGATCGATGAATGGGTGGAAAGTGATTTTTGCGTGTCGCAGAGTTAAGCTTTCGATAATCAATGCACACGCGCCACCCTATCACCATTCTTGTTAGTGAGTTCATTGTTGTCGTTTTGCACCACAATCATTCCTCCCTTCTTTGGTACAACTTGGACTGGACTTACCCATGCACTAATCGAAATTGGGTAAATAATTCCTGCATCTAGCAACTTTAAAACCTCTTTCTTTACCACATCTTGCATTGCTAGATTGAGTCTTCTTTGTGGTTGCACCATCGGCTTGTAAATTTCTTCCATTAAAATCTTGTGCTTGCAAATTGAGGGGCTTATACCTTTGATGTCCCCAATTGTTTATCCAATAGCTATCTTGTATGTCCGTAGCACCCTTAATAGCCTTTCCTCCTCTACATCACTCAAAGAAGCATTAATAATAACAGGATAAAACTTTGAATCTTCTAAAAATGCATACCCCAAGTGAGATGGAAGTTGTTTGAGTTCAAGTTTCGAAGGCTCTTTTGGTGATGAATTGGAGTGACTTTCTATCGTATTAATCTCAAAGAACTTCTTAGTGGGCGAGGATGTCATTGATGGTAGAGAGTTTAAGAAACTTAAACACCCTTTCAACTCTTCTCTATCCATTTCATCTTCATTTGTTCTCACATGAACTAGACAATTCTCTAAGGGGGAGCTTGGGTAATTTTCTTCCATAGTTTTGGCAATGACATTATCAAGGACACTAATTTCAAAACAAGTATCGCCCTCAGATGGGTACTTCATGGCATCAAACACATTAAACTCTACTTGTTCATCCTCCACTCTTAAGATTAGCTTCTCCTGGTGAACATCTATCAAAGTTTTACCCGTAGCTAGAAAGGGTCTTCCTAGAATTAGAGGTACTTCCCGATCTTCTTCCATGTCAAGAACAATAAAGTCCACTGGGAAAATCAACTTATCTACCTTGATCAATACATCTTCTACTAATCGCTTCGGGTATTTTATAGACCTATCAGCTAGTTGAAGATGGACTGTGGTTGGTTTTACTTCCCCTAGGCCTAGTTTCTTATAAATCGAAAATGGCATGAGATAAACACTAGCCCCTAGGTCACATAAAACTTTATCAAAATGAACATTACCTATTGTGCAAGGAATTATGAAACTCCCTGGATCTCTGAGCTTTTGTGGTAATTTCTTCAATAGCAATGCGCTGCACTCTTCCGTAAGCATCACCGTCTCATGTTCTTCAAATCTCCTCTTTTTGGTGATAATCTCCTTCAGAAACTTCGCGTACTTTGACATTTGCTCCAACATGTCTACAAAAGGAATGTTAATATGTAAAGTTCTAAACATGTCCATAAACTTACCAAATTGCTTATCCAAGCCTTGTTTTTGCACTTTGTGAGGATACGGGAGTGTCGAGTCATTGTTTGTCGAAGTTTGGGCATTTTTGACATTTTTTTCTCTTGTGCCCTCTTTTTCTTCTTCGAGTTTTTCCTTTGTTTCGTCTTCCTTCCTTACCTCCTTCAACTCCTTACCACTTCTCAGTATGACAACATTAACTCTCTCCTTCGGATTCTTCTCTATATCGCTTGGCAATGTCCCTTGAACTCTTCCCGCTAAAATATTGTGGATTTGCCCAATTTGAGTCTCAAGGTTCTGAATAGAGGCTGATTGATTTTGAACTAGGACGTTAGTCTTCTCAAACCTCTTGATTGTCTCTTCAATGAACTTGGTCAACACATTCTCTAAATTAGATTTTGCTCTTGAGGTTGAAAAACAGGAGCTTGTTTTTGCTCCATGAAAAGTTCGGGTGTTTCCTCCATGCTGGATTATATGTATTGGAATATGGATTCCCTTGCCCCCTTTGGAAATTATTGACGTAATTGGCTTGTTCAGGCTAAGCAAACGGGTTCCCTTCTTGGCAATCCTTCGATGAATGATTTCCTGCACAAAGGTCACATATTAGAGAAGAAGATTCAATAGCATTTACCTTTAGAGCAACTCCCAATTGCTTTTGAATGGCGGAGAGTTGAGCAGCCAATGTTGTGTAACCATCAACTTCATGCACTCCCGCTGCTTTCCTCGTTGAATTTCTCTCTGGAGTCCTCATATAGTTATTATTCGCCATCACCTCAATCAAATTGTATGCGTCCTCTGGCATTTTATTGTTCAAGGCTCCCCCACTTGCAGCATCAATCATAGCTTGAATAGTTGGTAGCAACCCTTGGTAGAACGTTTGCACTTACGACCAGAGTGGTAAACCATGGTGAGGGCACCTCTGTAAGAGATCCTAATACCTTTCCCATGCTTCATACAATGACTTTAAATCTTGTTGGTAAAAGTTCGTAATCTCACTCCTCAGCTTGGAAGACTTTGCAGGTGGAAAATATTTAGTGAAGAATGCTTGAGCTAACTCGTTCCAAGTTGTGATGCTCCCAGATGGCAGAGAAATCAACTAAGCCTTGGCTTTATCCCAAAGAGAGAATGGGAAAAGCCTTAGCCTAATTGCGTCATCAGATACTCCATTATGCCTGAATTGTAGCATAACTCTAGAAAATTTGCGATATACAGGTTGGGATCATCAGAAGGTAGCCCAGCGAATTGGATTGACTGCTGAATCATTCCAATAATTGCTAGCTTAGTCTCAAAATTATTCACTTGAACGGGTGGTCTCCTGATGCTAGAATAGCACCCATTAATAGTAGGACTAGAGTAGTCCTTCAATGCTCTCTGAACCACTGCTTCTCCACCCATTGCATTTCCTCCTAAGGTATCCTTATTCTCATTCTCTTGATTTCCCATATTGGGATTGACAATTCCTGCATTAGCCATTGACTTTTCAGATTCAGCTTTCCTCTTTTCTTTCCTCAACTGTTTAGCGGTTCTCTCGATCTCAAAATTTATTGGATTAAGATTACCACCACCTCTTGAACGTAAGCTCTTCAGGATCTAAAACAAAAACGCATGACAAAATAAACGAAACAGAACAAATAATAAAAATAAATAAATAAAATTAACTTCAAAATAAAGATAAAACAAATCAAACTAGCAACTGAATAGTTCATAATGATATTGAAAAAAAAATAATTCCCTGGCAACGATGCCAAAAACTTGTTGTAAATTTTCGCAAGTGTACGAAATCGTGCAAGTAATAAAGTGTATAAAATACGGATATCGAACCCAAGGGAATTACTATTATCAATTACCAATTAAACTATCCTATTACTATTTGATCAATCCGAATTTTATCAAGGAAACCTAAATCAAATAAACAAATGAATTTAAAAAGAAAACTGAAAAGAGAACAATTAAAATAAACCTTTGGGTAAAAACAAGATGACTAGATCTAGGGCATAGACTTCACACCAACTCTTATTCATGTGTATCGATCTCTCATGCTAATTTTATTAAGCTCTTCCTGCAAGTCAAACTCCCTAAATTTCTAATAACTTTCTCTCGAACAATTATCAAATTAACCCCTAATTACTAACCCGAACTATCTCTAATCAGATTTAAGCAATTGGGGATCATTACGCTCTATGGAATTTACCAAAACCTCACAAGTCGCGGTAACCTATCTCTATCATTTGCTCAACCTATGGTTTTACTACCGTAGACCAACTAAGTATCATCTCTCGATCTCAACTTAGTCCATTGGTTCATTCAATTCTTGGGCCCTTAAGAATCGAAAGCATTAGGAATAATAGTAAAACTTAGGAAGAATTCTTATACAAATTAATAATCAAAGATCAATACATAATTAAGAGATTGGGCTACAGCTTAGCCCTAGAGAATAAAATTAGTTCATAATGAACATGAAAGAAATAATCATATCTATTGAAACATTCCTCATGAGTTTACACGAAAAGAATAAGGAAAACTTCTCTATATTGTGAATCAAAGCTCCAGAACTTCTGTTACTTTTCTTCTCTCCAGATTTTTCTCCCTTTCTTCTCACCAAAGAATCCCCTAAATAATGCTAAAAGACTCCTATTTATATCCCATAAGGGTTAGGGTCTGTTTTTCCTTAATTCTATTTGATTTGGAACCCTTAACCCTATTCTCTTGGCTAAAAACAGACAACAAACTAGTGAATTCCATGACTATGCCGCGGCACTGTGCCACGGCACAGTAGCTACTGGAAAAAGTGTGTCGCGGCACAGTAGCTACTGCCCTTTTCCAGCATCATTCCACTGTCCTTCAAAGAAGTTGATTTTTTAACTCAATAACGATGGAATTTGGAAAGGTTGTAAACATATGAAATGTAGCCCTTTGAATAATCCTTCTAACGGTCTAAGAATTGTCTTAATCCTAGTTCTACAGCTCAAGATATTCTCAAAATACCAAGGCATGCGCAAGCTAGAACGTAATCTAGAATCTTCTCTTTACTTCAACTTCCATAACTTGTTCAATTTCACTCCGATTCTTGATCCGTTTATTTCCACTCATCACTCATTCTGTTTCCAACATGATTCTTTATCCGAGCATAACATTTAAGCACTAGTGACCTAAAAAATACTCAAAAATACCCGTGATCTTGTAAAAGGCAATTATGAAAATATTAAGTAACTTTACCAAATTAAGCCTAATTTCCCACAATTAATCCCCCAAAAACCACTAACTAAATGTGTATTTTCAAGCTCTTATCAATACCCTTAGTTGAATTTTACTAGAGTTATCTTGAACAAGTGTGAAGAAAATTCTTTAAAACTTCACTAGGGGTAAAATGGCCGTTTCACTCTTAATTAGTTGAAAGTGTGGGGAGTGAAAAGAAGTAGAATTACATGGAGAATGCAATCGAAATGAGGACATTATTGTAAGTGACTAAGGGACATAGATAGAATTTAATAGAAAGTACAAGGGCAAAATGGGAATACATGCTTATATTATTTGATATAAGGTTTCATTTGAAGAAACCCTAACCAAAATGCAGCCCTTGTTCATGCCATATTCTCCCCATTTTCTCTCAATTTTCTTCACTAAATTTCAAAGGGAAATCATAGGATTTGGGTTGGATTTTCATAGATTTTCAATCCTAAAGCATCCTAAGGTAAGATTCTAGCAAAAGGAGTGTGCTAAACTTTAAAGTTTTAAATTCTTATGGTTTTTATATGATCTAGGTCCAAGAGGAAGAGATTTAGAGCAAAAGGGAAGTGATCTCACATATTCAAGGTAAGTCAACCTAGTTTGAACCTTAATTTGAGCAAGACTTGTGTTGAATGAATTATTGCATGTTTGTATGTGATGATATGAGAGAATTATTGGCTGTTTTTTATGTTTAATGATGTGTAATTTCCAGCCATGAGAAGTAGTGTATGGTTATGTGATGATTTGGTGAAGTTATGGAAGAATTAGTGATGGAATTTTTGAAGTGTAGAGAAATGTTGAAAATGGACAGGTTTGATGCTATAATTATTGAGTTTTTGGCTTACAATTTGGTGGAATTAGACAGCTGTCGAAGTGTAGCCAACATGGTAGTTGCATGTGCACATGAAGTTTTTGATGAAAATCCAAAGAGAAATTGCATGCATGAGTTGGCTAAACCCTAATGAAGAAAGGGTTAGAGAAAGGCAAGAATTGAAGTTTGATTGTCTATTATTGATCTTTTAACATGTTTTCACAAGGGAGAATGGTTAGGAAAGGTTAGGGAGTAAGTGGAGGTAAATAGTTATGGAAAAGCCTTAAAGTAGGCATGTTACCAAGGTTGCCCTATCAAATCGGTGACCTTCTAAGTGATTTTTGGTCATCTTACCGATCGAATTGGGTTGAGACCTAAACATAAGAGTTGTAGCCCTTTCTCTAAGCTTTTAAATGAGACCAAGATCATAGCAATTTGACGTGTATAACTCGAGATATACCTTATTGAATATGGCTTGTGCAGTATGACTACCTCAAAAGTGCTTCCAATTTATTAGTTTATTTTTAGTCTAATAAACTATGATTGATTTCAAGTATGGGAATGTTGTTGGTAGAAAATACCAGTTCTCTAATGATATTTTTATATGCCATAATGCATTCTCACATTCTCACATTTGCATTTAGAAAGAATAGCAAAGAATGAACATATTTCCATGCACATAAACATGTATGAGAATATTAAAGAATAAAGAGAAAGAAAAGAAATTACAAGTAGAAGTATTATCTAAAGAAATATAATTAAAGAATAATTCAAATCTGAAATTTTACTTAAAGAAATATAAAAAGATAGGAGAAGAGAAGGTTGTTGCGATGGGGAACCTGTGAGTGACAGAGAAGAATAGCCCCACATGCACGCCGCCTTTAGTGAGCGGCCTCAGAATAAGAAAGAAGAATTTGTACAGTTTGTTAGAAGTGCATGTGGATGAGAACTATACCTAATAGAGCATACCTACATGCACGCAACCTTTAGTGAGTGGCCTCAGAATTAGAAAGAAGAATTTGTACAATCCGTTAGAAGTGCATGTAGATGAGGACTGTACCCACTCACATGGCCAGAGTTTCGAATCCATGCCTTAACCGAGTCTGATCGGCAAGAAAGAATAGAAAAGAAAAGAAAAGAAAGAAAGAATATAAAAGAAAGAAAAGAAGCATAGAAAGAAATATAGAGAAAAGAAACAGAAAACAGAATAAGAAAATAGAAAAACAGAAAAGAAAGTGCACATCTTATGCATTTGTGCATTTGCATCATACCTGTAATATACTGTATAGCTAGTAATTCTGTAAGAAATATAAGATAAAATCCACTAAATAACTTTTACAAACATATATACATAATGTAATTCCGAAAATTCTAATTTTTAATTCATATAAATATATATACAAGATACTAATATACTTTAGTAAGCATAAGGTAAGCTTGAATAGTGCCGTCGAAACTCCTCCACTTCTTGACGTCCCAACCAGTCGTAAATCATCTAGTACCTACAAAATAGTAAAATAACGGAGTGAGCGTTAAGTGCTCAGTAAGTAAACCAAACTGTACTACTATGTTTCCTTCGTTACTCATGTTCAGATTTTTTCATTTTCTCACTTTATTCTTTGATAATATTCTTCATTCTCTTCTGTTTCTCTTTCTCTTATGTTGTATCTCTTTCTTTTCTTCTCTGTTTCTCTTTCTTTTCTTTCTTCTTTATAGTTTGTCGATCAGACTAGGTTGATGCATGGACTTGGAACCTTGGCCATGTGAGTGGGTACAATCCTCATCTACATACACTACTCACG